ACTAAGGTTAATGTTTTAGGTGGACAGTAAGGTTTTGGGTAGACAGTATGCACATTTGAAATAAAATCCTACAATTTCAAAGAAAAAATATTTTAAAAACTCAAGTTCAACTGACCTAAACAAAATGTATTTTAGGTCTGCATAATTCTAATGTATTTTTGGTCTGGATAATGCTAATATATTTTTGGCACTTTAATTTTCAATGCATACTTAGGTTTTGATTACTATAACAAAGTTATAGGGCATGTTAGCCCTATATACTTTGTGGGAATTTAGCATGGATCTTTATGTTTTGGCTTGCTTGTGATTTGTGACAAAGGAAAATGTTAAATCAATTTTATTTTCATGAAATGTTTGTGATAGTTTAAGCTTACTTTAAGTAAAACTAAAATTTGAAAATCAAGTTTCAATTTGTATTTTTTCAAAATTTAAACAAAATTTATAGAGAGATATGAGCTAATTTTTTGACATGATTTAAATAAAGCTTCATGAATAAAAACTTTACGATTGCATCTTTACAATGAATTTTTTTTTTGTTTTTTAGCAATTAGGTGAATTAATATATAAGTATATATCCTGGCAAAGATATTAGCTGTCATTTCTAAGATCCGTTGATAAATTGGTCTAATTTAAAATAGCCTCTCAAAAAGTAAGTAGGTCTGGTAAATTTTGTAAAAGGTAAGATTCGACAAATAAACAGTTCAAATTCAAAGACCAGAAGTGTTTTTAACAGATAGATTGGCATAGAATGGCAAAGACTCGATGAATTTATTAATTTTTTTTTGTTTAATCTCACTCCATATGGCTTCAATAGCTCATCGGTGATATAATTTATTAGCGTTTTTGAACTGTCCTTTGTTTTAGAAAAAGTTTAATCTAATACTATAAATTTTCAATCAGATTGAGTCGCTTGATTTTTTAGAAATGAATTATTGCAAAGCATTTTTAACAAATTTAGATGTTTTGCCGAAACGTTCATAAGAAAGGAATATTGTTATCGGCATGAGGAACCATCTTTTCCTCAAAAGCATAATAATAAATTGATCCATAATCTCATTTATTTGATGGAGAGGGCAAATTCCACTAAAACCAGAAAACAACCTGAAACCATTGCACCTTTTCCACCACCATACTTGACCATTCCACTTATGTATTGAGGATTTAAACATTAACTTTTTGGTCTTATGTAATTACCACCATGAGATAATAATTATCTCTTTGCACTCGTCTCTTTTTGAAAATAATTACAAAAACGCGTAGTAATTAAGGCAATTATTTTATTTTAATTGTTGCAGGTTTATTTTAATTTTTTCTGTTATTTTTTTATATATGCTTGTCTGTTTTTGACTAGATGTCATTGGAAAAGACAGCTTTGGAATGCGCTACCTTAATCGATTGCCTAAAGGTGAAAAGCATAGCTCTGTTCAATTCCCTCCACCCGATGATTATATGCCTCTTATAAAACAAAGTCAAGGTGCAGTATTTACGTTGAAGGCATTTGTTTCAAATTTACCTATTTGGGAAAAGTCTTGGCACATTGCATTAAGTAGTGCTCTTCAACTTCAAGTTGCTAGAGATAGAAAACTATGTAAAGAATGCGATTGTAGATTTTGTAAGAACGTAAAAAATGAAGAATGCGAATTCGATTCGTAATCGATTTTAAATTACACTCTTAAACGATTTTGAATTACGTTTTTAAACGATTTTAAATTAAGTTCTTAAACGATTCAAAAAAGCTCCTATGCTTCTAAAAATTTTGTATTTAAACTTACCTTTTAAATTTTTTTAATGCTTTAATGATTCTTTAAAAACTTTGCTTTGCAATTTCTTTAAATTTTTTAATTTTTAATAATTACTTAAATTACTTATTTCAGGCTTATTTTCTTTTTCTTTTTTTAAGTTTTTTTATTGCATCTTTAAAAAAAAATATAGTTAATTGTTATAAAAATATTTTTATACTATACGTTATACTTCACGTTATTATTAAATATACGTTATTATATATTAGTGCATGGTTACCAGCAGTTAAGCAAAGACAGATTAACATAAATTTTTGAAAATAGTTTAAAAAATATTTTTTTGAATATAATTTTTGATTAATAATATAATTCATTATTAAATTATTTTTAAATGATACTCTGAATTGTGTAATGTTTCCACATGTTTTTCGTGCCGTCTCATGTTGTTCTTAAATATACTCTGCTGTCTGATAATTTTCTTGAACATAATTGGCTGTCTTGCAAATAAAGAGCTAATACAAATCATTATCAATCATATATGTTCTGAAAATTTTTTTTACTGATATTTACTAACGGTAATAATACTAATGTAAAGATTGTAATTACTTTTGTATATATAATAATAATAATAAAAGTAATTAAAATAATAAGTTGTCTTTTAAATTTTGATTAAAAACAAACAAATAACCCTAGATAATTACTAAATTAAACTAAATAAGTAATATAAAAAAATGTGTACCTGTATAAATTGAAAAATATTACCAACATTTCAGCTTCAAAAAATAATAGCTCCATTTCAAATCCAGAGTCAAATTTTTTTTTAATTATTTTTACAACTCGTTACATTTTTTATGTTAGAGATGCTGCTTTATGAATTTTTTAAGTTTTCTCGTTATGCATTATTGTTAATTATTTTTTTTAGTATAATATTCTTGTACTTTTTTATATTTTATTCATTCTAATGTTTATTTCATTTTTCCATCCTACTCGACTGTGAGTTGATGAACTGTTCTGTTATAAAGGTGAGAGAATGATAGAACTAACAAGTAAGAGAACGAGAGGATCAAGAACTAACAAGTAAGAACATAGAACTAACAAGTAAGAGAACGAGAGGATCAAGAACTAACAAGTAAGAACATAGAACTAACAAGTAAGAGAACGAGAGGATCTTAACAAGTGGGAGAACAAGAGGATAAAGATTCTTTAAAAAATTGAAGAACGAGAAAATCGAGATCCGTTATCTTTAATTTGTTATAAAAATTGTATACAGTTATATACAATTTGTTATTCAACAAACTATATATAATTTATGAAACAATTTATACACAATTTGTTATAACAAATTGGGAAAACGAGAAAATTTGTTATAACAAATTGGAAAAACGAGAAAATTAAAATCCGTTGTATAGTAGGTTGATACATTTAAGATTTTAAGATAAGATTTTAAAAGATAAAATTTTAAGATAAGATTTTAAGATAAGATTTTAAGAAAAGATTTTAAAAGTTTGTTATTCAAAGATTCAAAAACTTCGTTTATAATCGTAGGAAGATTAATCAAGTGATAGTTCTCGACACCGTGAAGGCCGGTTTTAAAAACTTTAACAAATACAATTTTTGTTTGTAAAACGTATACCATAATAATGGTTGTTGTTCTTAAAAATTATTTATATTTATTCTTCAAATAAAACTAGCTTAAATAATTTATATTATCTATAAAATGCTGTGTTCCGAAATGTTGCTTAAAGTTTTCAGATTTTAAAATTTTTGTATATAAGTTCCTTCATTTTATTTATGAGCAACCCTCGTTCAAATTAGATCGTTACGAAATACAGTGTTATTTGTAAATTGTTTTTTCTAGATGGAACTTTGTTTATATTATATTGAGGTAAGTTGAAGTCTGTTCATTCTCCATTTTTGTTTACAGATCCCTCTATATGTTGTCTCTTCTCTTCGTCACTAAAAATGAAAGAACTTTATCTGCTTTTTTCAAAAGAGGTATAAAGGAAGATAAATCGGAAGAATATAAAATAATTTTGGAGCACTTATTGACTGGCAACGATCAAATCATTACTTCTTAGCAAAACAATTTCACTTTCATTTTGGGGAGGATGAAAATCTCACATAATGATAACTTTTTACTAAAACAAATTACTAAAAGATTATAAGATCAAATTTAAAATCTTTTAATAATTTTAAATTCGTTTTAAGGTAGTAAAAAAAATATTTTTATTCGCTCATTGCCCCCACCTATGGGGCAATGGTGTCAAAATTTTGGGATGTTTTAGTTTCCAGGCTCAAGTCACCACAATATTTTGCAAAACATTCTCATTTGACGTTTGAATGGATATACTAAAGTTTTTTTTTTTTTAATTTGTTATTTAGGTGCTCCAAGAAGTCCTAACGGTCTTGTCACAGAGCACTGCGGAAGTGCACTTAACTAAGAAGTTTACGGCTATTTCCTTACCGTGACGCGAAATATGTCCAACGCTCGTTTCGAACCTGGATCTCCTGCTTATAAAGTAAGCGCTCTAACCACTGCGCCACGTCCTCACGGCCGCATTGTGCAAGTTCAAAACTTGTACAATGCCTAAAAGTATTTTATCTGAAACATCAAAAAAATCCTTTTTCCCCTAATTGCTAGTGTTTACTACAATATAATTGGTAATTCTGTATAAAAAGACGTTCACCTTTATACATAAAAAGTTTTAGTTTTTTTTTATTAAAAGAATTTTTGCTTAAGATTTTCTAATATTCGTTTATTTCTTAGAAAGTGAAACTGAAACAAAATAAAATATTTCTAATAATTGGAGTAGTGATAATTTAAATAGAAGCAAAAGGAATAAATGGGCGAATAAATTGCATATTTGACATTCTATACAATGTCAAAACTTTAATTACATATAGAAATGATATTTAAGTTATCAAATAGAAGTTTAACATTTGCGCTCTTGGTCAAGATATATAGATTGATTATACCTGGCCTTATTGCCTCCCTCTTCTTTTCTTTTTTTTTTGCGATTATATTTTTTAGCTTCAAGCCAGTATTGGCACTATAAGAAAACCTCTTTTTTCAAAATAAAGTGGTGTGTCTGGTATAAAATTATGTTGTCTGCCTTTAAAAAAAAAAGAAGTTTTAAAGTTCACAATTTATTTCAATAAATTGTGAACTTTAAAAAAAAATCTAAAAGTATATAAAAAAAGTAGTCTTAATGCCCTCCTTTGCCCTACCCAACTTGCCCTGCTTAAAAAGCACCGTTCTACCCTACAACTATTATTATAGAAAGAATTTATTATTATAGTTATGATCAACGCAAAAACTGTCGTACCAAGTCCATGTTTGCAAACTATTTATTCTTATGGCTAAACTGCCCCGATAAGTAAGAACATAGTATCTGTAAAATATTCATCTTGCACAATATATGAATCAATTCAAAGATTTAAAGTCAAAGTGTTGTTGAACAACTGTTAATAAAATGTCGTTTTCATTTGAGGATCCTTGCAAAACGTGCCAATTCACAAAAATAAAAAATTTGAGTCATTTCCAATTCCACATTATATATGAGGGGCTCAACGGAAAAGTAGTCTAACCCACATTTTTGAAATTTTCCGGCAAAGGTATTTAATTAATACAGCATCAAGATATACTTTTCAGTAAGTTTATCATACAGTAATATATCTAGCCTCAATGTTATTTAGGTAGATTATCCTCTTCTAGTTATGGCTAGGGTTGATTGCCACGGCTGCTCTAGCTATTCTGAAACAGAAAAGGTCAACAGGGGAGCAATCCTAATTTAGCCGAAAGGACAACTAGTACAGAAATTATTTGCCTCCAACTTTACAAATGTCAACAATGTACCAGTAGTAACAGTATATTTGCAATTGTTATAAAAATAATCGCACCTCACTTTCAATATTTGTATTTCGACACTTATTCAATACAAAATTCAATTTACGTTTTCACCATCCACAATCAGATATATGTCAAAAATATGATCTATTTAACAATAAAATAAAGTGTGAAGAAAAAAACACTGTTAGGAGAGACCTTATTATATATCAAAAAATGGCTGTAAAGGCATAAGATAAAATGAAAGAAGATAAAGATGATGCCCATACAAATCCATACAAGTAGGTATTAGCTTTCAACTTTCAAAAAACTCTACCGACACCAGTGCTTAGTACAGGAATAGCATACTATAAAAAGCTAATGTAGACTTACAATTTTGGAATCCATGATGAAAACCTAAAGACAAGATTTATGTATATATGGAGTAAGGAACAAACATACAGAGGTACTCAAGAGATAATTTTGTGTATCCTCATAGATTTTTTTGATACATACCAGAAACTGTGACCCATTGATATTGTATAGCGATAAATGTTTTCGACAAAATCGTAATATAAAAATATCTCTTATGTTATAATATATCTCGCACAAATCTCCATCTTTGAAAACCATTGAACAGTAATTTTTTGTACCAGGGCATAGTTTTTCATCCTGCGACTGGCACTTTGCTGTGATTGAAAAAGCCAAAAAAACAATGAACCAATTATTTGTTTCAGATCATTTGTTAGACCTTTTTAAAAATGCAAACAAGAGGGCCCCAAAATTTATTGTAAGAATAATGAAGAACCATCATTGGAGAGTGGGATAAACAATAGAAAAAAATTAATGGCAAAAAGATTTCATGGCTAAAAACATGCTGGATAAAATTGGAAAAAGGATCACCACACTTATTTCAAATGAAGTAAATACATATAGAAAGTGACATATTCATATAACAATGCGAAATCGTGGACGGCCATCTTTCACTATCAATGTTGAACTTAAGCCCTTGCAATGATAGAAAACTCACAAAAAAAAAAGCTAAGTGATCTTTTTGAGTTAATACAATTCATACCGCCTGTGCATCATCCCTATTATCTTGTCCTTAAAGTTGACGAGCAGGCAACTAATTTGGGTCTAACTGATGATCTGGTGATAAAGGCATAAATAGTGTATCTTACATATATAAAAGAATTATTAACAAGTCATAGACAAAACATCCGTTTAGCCCAACCAACTCTATTAATAGTATTTCCAAAAATTTGAAAAAAAAAGAGACTAAGTTGCCTAACTTTTTTTTTATAGCAGAACAAAGTAATATACTGTTATAATTTTTAATAAATATACCATATCTACTAAATATTAGGACACTATATTACTATCCTTCTAATAATCATACTTTTTCCTGTTATTTTTCAAAAAGATCCTTAAAGTCTTTTTCAAGTTTACTAAAAATGAAGTTTTTGTGGTTTAGACCACTTTTCTGCTGAGCCCCTCATATACTGTAATCTATTATCTATTTAAATATTAAATCAATTAAAAAATTTTTGGTTTTAAAAATGGAAAAACAAAATATAAATTTTTATTGATGCGCAACTAAGAGAAGTTTAATTTTTTGCTGTTTTTCACAAAATCAGTTTATTCGGACTTGGCGCGTTTTGCAATGGGCTCTTTATTTACAAACAAAATTTTATCCATTTGAAATTCGATAGTTTAAAACTAAACATGCAGTTTGATTATACTCTTTTAACATTGAGTTTTTCAAAAGTATTAACTCAAGTTCTTTTTCTTGGAAGTAGCATTTTAATGAATAAATGTTAAAATATAAACTTTTTTGTTATAGCAGTTTCGCAAGAGCTGTATAAATTGATGTTTGCGTAACTGTAGTTTATAGGGAAAATGTAGCAAGTAAACAATGTTGCGTGCTGTTTATTTACGGTATTTCTTTTAAAATAAAATAACAAATTTATTAAAAAAAAAACTGGAAATAAACAGCATATAAATTGAAACATTTTAAATATAGCTAATATAATAATATAATAAGAGATAAATCAGCAAATTTTATATTTTTTTTCTCTCTAAAGATGTATTAATTCTTGAAGCGCTTCATAGATACCACATGATATTTTAATGCTTCTTATATACAGATAAGAATCATTATGGGACTTAAAAACCATATTGTGGTAGCTTGAAGTCGAATGTTATCGATAAAAATTTTTCCCATCATACCTTGCAGCAAAATTGTATGAGGATATTTAGCCAAAATTCCCAGTAAGCACAGATCGTTTTTAAAACGTTCAAAAAACGTTAAAAAAAAGTTTTAATAAAATTTTTAGACGTTTTAAAAACGTCCTGTGCTTACTGGGTTACTATTGCAATTACTTTATGGTTTGTCATTTAGATCAAATTTTTTTTGATCGATTAGTAGGTCTTAACTGTCTCTCTAAAGAGACCTATACGGTAGAGTGCACTGAAAACATTAAAATACTAATTATTAATTTAACTCATTTTACTTGGGTGTGCAAAAATTGTCTATTTACACCAAAAATGTTCTGAAAAAGTTCCAACGCTTTATAAAATTACTTTGAGACACCTTAAAGACTTTGAAACCCCCGCCCCAAAAAGTGACCTACGGAAGAAGATTTAGAAAAAAATATTTTTCTAAAAAAGTTCATTTTGACTGTTTAGGCAAAAGTAGTCTATTCATATTGATAATTTTTACTGAAATGGCAACCTTTATAGAAATACTTTATAAAAGTTGCAATGTTCTAGAGAATTGTTTTGAGAAATCCTAAGGGTTTTGAATTCCCATAAAATTCCCAGTTTGTGAAGAGTTAAAATTTACCCATAACTATCATTAAATTCATTTTTTCACAATAAATCAATGATTAAAAAAACGCATATCTTGTTTTTCGCTTTCTATTGTGAAAAATGGTATTATGGAAATAACATCATATCATAATGAAATACATTTATGTAAATTGTAGAACTTTGAGGTGCCAGCAAAAAGTAAGGATTATTTAAACAAATACAAAGTAAATTTTCTGTAAGTAAATTGTTTCAAAATATCATTTTGACACTCAATTAGGAGTGGGTTTGTATTGCAACTAAGATGATATAATTACTCGGTGAAACTTTTAAGTCAAGGTAAATTTTTAAGTCCTTAATTGTTCTAAATTCTTTTCATAAAAATAAAAAACGAAAAAACTACCTTTGAGATAAAATGTGTTAAAAATTGCTCATTAAAAAAATAGATTCAAATTCGCTTACTAAAAAATAAAAGTAAAAACATTATCATTTACATTAACTGTTTATTTTTTAATTTTTATGTTGTATGTCATTATTTATTTTGGTATAAATTTTTTTTACAACTAAATTTTAATGGCATTTTATATTAAAATGTTTACAAAGTTTAAAAACAATAACAAAAATAAATATTTTTTTTGTAGATTTTTATTTATATATTCATTATAGCTTCTTTGAAATAAAAATTAAACTTAACATCAAAATAATTTTTATAAAAAAGTTCAAATCAATGACAAAAGTAAAAAAAAAGGCACTTAAAGTATAATTAATAATTTTTTTTTGAATTGTATTAATTTTTGTTTCAAAGTTATTCCTTTATCACCTGCCTGACTGTTCGCTAAATGTTAATTGTGAACTGATTAGATTGTGTATAGCAAAAGATAAAAAAGCCAGCTTGGAATTATTTGTAAAAGGGGTTTTTTATACTGATTTTTTTCGTTTAATGTAGTACAAAGTTTGCATGATTACTAAAGTTCTATTACTCAGTACTTTTATTTAGTGCTTTTGTAAAAGTTGAATTTAAAAAGACACCGACAATTAAGAACATTTTAAATTTGTCGAGTATGTATCTTAATTTAAAAAAAAGTCTTTTTTGCAATATCGAAATAATATTTATTAAAAACATCTTTTAAAGCTGTATTACGCAGTTTACAATTTTATTGCGTAAATGTTATTTACGTTAAATAAATTGTAGATAATAAGTTAATAATTTTTTTTACTTTGGACTTATTTGTACTATATCTGCATTTAAATTCTTGTGCGTTTAATCGCCATTAAAAACAATTGAAGTCCCATAACACTTCTTTTGAAAAATTCCTATAGAAGATGTAAAACATGTTATTATTTCTTCGTCATGTTCATTTTTAAAACAAATTTTGCAATTTACGTCTTACAACTGTTAAATTTTAAATGAAGGGTTAGATGTTTTAAACAATGTATTATTTTATATGTGATGAGGAAATAATAGTTCTGTTTGTTATCAAGTTTTTTTCTTTAAGTTTTTAATGCAGGTGCAAAAGTTTAAGCAGACGGTTTCAAACATAAATTATTGAAAACATATTTTTTAACATTTCAAAAGTTTGCGCGTATTTCACTGTTATTAGATGTGAAAATTTGAACCTATATAGAGTTTATGCTAAATGAGTAACACATATCATGACAATTAATTCATTTGGATTAGGTTATTTGCCTGTTTTATGGTCATTATTATCTGTGTTTGCATTTATTGGCGCTTACGTCACTGCTGTTTTGGAAGGTCATGTTTATTATTTTCTTCCATCCATAGGTGACACTGGAACAAAAGATCCTGAATCCAGCATTTTTTCTTTGTTAATGAATATCTCAATAATAATCGGTCTTTCGAATTACATCATCAGATATTTTCAATGTCAATATCAAGCTAGGCAATGTGCGAATGAAAGAGAGGCAATCTATAAATATAACAGAGTATCACTAATGTTAGCAGTTGGGAGTATCTTAGGCGGACTTATTGTTGTAAATATCTCATTGAGAAAGGTGTTTTTTATTTTTTTTATTTTATTTGTTGTATTTGTTTATATTTCTAGTTTTGTCAAAATAAAAAATTTAAAAATTTAAAAATACTAAATATTTTTTTATACTTTTTAGGAGTATTATTTACTCGAAATACACGATGCCGGTGCCATAGTTTTCTTTTTGTTTACTACAATGTATTTTTGGGTCCAGACTATTTTGAGTTACAAAGTTTCAAAATTTGGATTGATATCGTCATTAATGTGTCATGTGAGGTGTTTTTTAATTTTTACTATCAGTGTTTTTTTATGCATTAACGTTGTGACTTCAATACTCAGCTATGAAATATTTATCAACTATAATTTGCAACATACTATTGCACAATGGGTCCCTGGAGACTTTGGTTACTTAATTCATATAGTTAGCAACTCATCAGAATGGTTGAGTGCTATGTTTATTATAATTTATGTTTTGACTTATTTTGAAGAATTTCAGCATGTCGTGTTATTGATTGACTGTCAAGAAAGATCCCCAATGGTTGAGTTTTATGACAGTGTTGGAGTTTATTCAAACTGGAAGTTTATGAATGAAGAAAATAACAACTAATGGGATTTTAAATCATCAAATAATTTTTTTTGGAAAAATTATTTACAAAAGTTAAACTTTAACTTTTACCAGTTTAACTTTAGGCATTGTTATTTAAAAAAATTATAAATGAAACCAAGACTTATCGGATCATTTATCCTGGAAAATGATTAAAAAAAAGAATGCTGGAACATTTAAGAGCTTTAAAAAGTGCTACAGTTTTATAAAATATAATTTTAAAAAATAAATAAAAACTATATATACAAAAATTATAAAAAAATTAGTTAAGCGTTTTTTTTATTCATTTATATATATATATATATATATATATATATATATATATATATATATATATATATATATATATATATATATATATATATATATATATATATATATATATAATATATATATATATATATATATATATATATATATATATATATATATATATATATATATATATATATATATATATATATATATATATATATATATATATATATATATATATATATATATATATATATATATATATATATATATATATATATATATATATATATATACAAACAATGGGCCCGCAAAGGTGATCAAAAGGTTCTGAACCTTTTAAACCTGGAAGAAAGTTATGTAACCTTTGTTTAACGGAAAAATACCATATCATTACATCACCTTTGAAACTATTAAATAAGCGAAATGAATTAATATCTAAATGTCGCCACGAAAACAAATTTGTTATCTGCAACTTTAACGTCATCTAAGCTAACACTGTATTGTACTTTTGTATATAATTTTTGTTGTTGTTATGGTTGTTTGAAACGTCTGATGATCGCATATAGCGTGAAACTCTGAGTTATGTTACAAATTTAATTGTATTTTATTATTATTTTAATATAATATATATTTGCTCTACTTTTGTATTGAGCACTGTCTACCGAAAAATTACTCTTATTACTGATATATATATATATATATATATATATATATATATATATATATATATATATATATATATATATATATATATATATATATATATATATATATATATATATATATATATATATATATATATATATATATATATATATATATATATATATACAGGCCCGCCCAGAGCTTTTGTGATGCCCGGGTCCAAAAGTTTAATGGATGCCCTATCATACTTCAGGTCTTAAAATAGCAAATAAATTAATATAGTTTACTTTCATAAAAAGCCTAAAATCACATTTAATTTTGGTTTGCAAGAACAAACTATGATAAAATCAATTCTTAATTAACAAACACATCTTCCGGGCCTTCTTAGCAGCAAAATTTCAAATAACTTCTTCATAATTAACGTTAATGGCTAAATCTAATTCGATTGAAAGGATCATCAAGTAGCACAATCGCTCCTGGCCCATTGTGGAACGAAGATAATCTTTGATGATAGCTAACTTGCTGAAAGATCTTTTTCCTTCAGATGTTGAAACGGGCAATGTTAGAAAGATTCTAAGAGAAACACACACTTGCGGAAATATTGAATGCAGCCCCTTTGCATAAACTTCATTTAGAAGTTCGACAGGCTTTTCGCTGGCGAGAATATTTCTTCTTACGGAAAAAAAATGCCGAACTTCATCAGAAAATTCGTTTTTAAATAAGTCTTCTGGGTAAAGTTTAGCCAGATTCTCAGCTTTTAAACCTAGTTCTTGGTCTGTTTGAGATTTCTGTAAAGACCAAAGGAAGGAAAACTTGCTACATTCCTCTTTTATTTCTTTAAATCTTGATCTCATTTGACTAGTCAGATTGTCGAGTGCAACATTGAAGACATTACACTCAAAGTTTTTTGATGCTTCTTCGTGGTTGTAACCAGCAGTTTCATCTGAGACGATCTTTTTTCGCGTTCTCTTCACAGTAAACATTATTTTATCAAATTTCAAGTTCTTTGCAACTTCTGTTGCCTCTATCAAAATCAGGTCCCAAGACAGACGGATTCAATCCAGATCCATCAAAAGGCTATTTAGAATCTTTACTTCATCATCGAGAGTGAGTTGAGTGGATTGAAGCAGAAGACTCACGTTATTAACTGCCATCAAACATTTAAACCAAAAAGTAGTGAAAACAACAAATTCAAAAGAATTCATCCATTTAATGAGATAATGCACTTCATTACTACTTTCGCCTGAAAGGTCTAAATCTTTTAGACGATGTAATGATTTCAAGATCTCTCTTGGCTTTTTTTCTAGTGGCTTAACTGATTCAATCCTTGAACTTCATCGTGTAACAGAAAGTTTATGTAATGATTGGCCTGTCTCCTCCTGAAGAATTTTCCAACGAACTGGGCTGCTGCTGAACAGATTGTATAGCTTTTGAATATTTCCAAAATAGGATTTTGCAGGAGCCGATGATTCAATAGCGTGTACTGCACATAAGCTTAAACTGTGAGCAGAGCAAGGAATGAAAATTGCTTGTGGATTATTCTGTCTTATCAAAGCTTGAACTCCATTGTAAATGCCTGCCATATTAGCGCCGTTGTCGTAGCCTTGACCACGACAATTTTTTATGTCGAGCTCATTCTCTTCCAACACATTCAATATCAACTTTGTTATATCAGATCCCTTCTTCTTTTCAAGTTCTTCTAGCTTAAGGAATCTTTTTTTGACCTCCCACAGCTGATTATCATTGAAATGCAAAAAACGAAAAACAAAAGTTATTTGCTCGCTGTGGGACGAATCGGGAGTGCTGTCCGTAAAGATGGTGAAATATATTGATTTTTTGATTTCTCGAATAAATTCTCGAACCACTAATTTGCCGCATTCCTTGATAAATTCATTTTGTGATTTCCAAGATAAATAATGAGCTTGCATGCGTTTTTCTTCTTTTTGGTGCTTAGCAATAAGATGCATATGATCTTGTAATGTTTTGTTGTGGCGAGCAATTAATTCGAGCGCTTCAAGGAAGTTTCCATTCTCATTTTTGAACAACTTTTGATTGGATCCTAATTACAAACAAAAAATAATCAAAATAGTTATCTATATTTATATCCAATTAAAACTTGTAATTTTGATTTTTAAATTACAAATAGAATAATGCAAAATATAATTTAAAATTTAAAAACAATATTCTTACCCCTAAAAGCTAAGTTTCTTGAAGCTAGAAAAATTGTGACCTCAAGAATGCATTGTAAAATTACTTTCCATCGGTTTGTTTCATCTCCAATTTGTTTTTCTAACTGATGCTCAATGGAGTTTTGACTTTTCAAGTGAATCGTAGCTGTTTTCCATTGGAGATAACAGTTACGGTGAAAATCGCTTTGTTGATGACTTTTAACGCGATCTGAAAGTTTTCTCCAATTTCCATGTATTCCTCCATTCCAAGACAACAAACTGGATTAAACACCGGGTCTGGTTAAGTTAAGCGATCCAAAAAGGGAGCAAGGGAAACAAAAGAGTGATGCCACAGCCTTACTCCAAACGAGCCAATCTCTTTTAACTTTTTCTCCGTTTCTTTGTTCCTCTAAAAAGATATAAGTAGGGAATTTGCGTTCTTTTTGATCTCTTGGAAAATTGCTAGGAATTGAAGAAGGTCCCATCAGAATTATATTCGTTCGATCAGTGTCTGATATTGATTTCCATAGTGCAGGATCGTTAGAGATTGGTATAGAAAGATCACTTTTATAAATTTGTTTGTCATTGTGACAATCAAGTACAAAATCCAACTGATCCTTTTTTAAATGTGATGATGTTTTTTGGGAGTCATCGATGTCATCGGCAAGAAAAAGTTTGTCGGAATTATGGTCTGGCAACTCATTAGAGTCATTGATACCGATCTCAATACCATTGAACTATAAAGAAGTATTAAACAGAATTATTCTAATTATTTTTTCATGAACTTCACAAGATTAAAAAATAGTTTAACTACCTGCTTGCATTTATCTTCGATATTTGTCCAACGAACGCAATCTAAAAGCGTTCGTTTGTTTTTGCTTTCGTTTTTTTTCCGAATCATCGCTCTTTTTCTCCCAGCAGCCCCAGACAGCTGTTTCAATCGTGGAGGTCTTTGATTATTCATGCTAAAACTTATGACGATATAAAGAATTTTAACTTTTTAAATTTTAAAAATTAAAAACTTTATAATACTTTGGTGTTATTAATTGCAGAGAAAAAGTCAGTACTTACAATTAAAATATCCACTGAAGATAAGTTTCTTGTCAAAATATAGTCGGAACAAAATGCAGGCGAGTCAAAAACATACATATGCACAAAAGTATCCACAGGGATGCAAGGTTTAAGCAAAAATAAGTTAAACTATCAGAAGTCAGGCTTTTACAAACGTTAAATAAGAAAAAAAAATTTTTAACGCTTTTTATTCTATCATGCGAACAAAAGGCCAATGAAAACGCCTGCGTTCAAATGGATAGTGAAAACCTTGTAAAGTAATAATTATCCTATTTTAAATGCAAACAAAGTTTAAAAGGAGAAAGAAATTAATACACAAAAATTGCTTAATCTTTAAATACGTTATCAGCTAAATTTTTTATCATTTCAATAATTTTTTTTTTAAAGGCATGTGATGCCCCATAGACTGTGATGCCCGGGGCAAACTACTTCAATTGCCCCCCCCCCTCTTATCGGCCCTGTATATATATATATACATATATATATATATATATATATATATATATATATATATATATATATATATATATATATACATATATATATATATATATATATATATATATATATATATATATATATATATATATATATATATATATATATATATATATATATATATATATATATATATATATATAGTATATATATATATATATATATATATATATATATATATATATATATATATATATATATATATTTATATATATTATATTTATATATATATATATATATTTATATATATTATATATATATATATATATATGTATATATATATATATATATATATATATATATATATATATATATATATTTATATATATACAATAATGGTTTAATTTAAAGTTTTTTCTTTTATTTATAAAGTTGTACTTGATAAAAATAAATAAATAAAGTTGAACATTTTGAATATTTATTGATTATTATGATAAATTATATAAAATATATATAAAGTATAAATATTTTGCAAAAACACTTTTATTTGCAATAACTGCTTCATTGCATTGTGGCATGCTTGCAATTTATTTTTTATAGTTTCTGTCAACATTGGGTTATTATGCCAGATCTTGATAATCTCTTCCATAAGATCTTGCTTATTAGCAAGATTTTTTTTTCCAATCTCTTGCTTTACTATTTTCCAAATGTTTTCTATGGGGTTAAGATCATGCGAGTTGTCTGGCTATAGCAATACATCAACTAAGCCATAACAGTTTTAATTGTGTGGCAAGTTGCACCATCTTGCATAAATATAAGTTTTTTGACATTATTTTTAATATTTTTAAATTTTTTTGTCAATTTTTGACTTTTTTGGCTGGACATCAATCCCACTTCTTTCAGCCCTCTACAAATGGTCTGGTCTGACACAACAATTACAGCTTCATGGATAAGCTTAGTGGCTTTTTTTCTGTTTTCCAGGCAGATATTTCTGATTATACTGTCCGCTCTTGGTGTTTTCTTGCGTTTAGAAGGTGATCTCCTTGGACAAAACTCTACCCCTGTATCAATTCTTTTTCTTACTTGCATTACGGTTTGGTAAGAAACTTTTGCGGTTTGTGCAATTTTTCATTGAGAACAATTTGTATTTTGTCTAAGACATGTTAATCAATTTTAAATGTAACTATAATAATAATAACAATGTATAATGCAGGTTGTTGACCAATGGTTTATAATCAAAATTTAATATGGCTGGCGGTAAAGGTAAAGAGAAGTTTAGAGGAACAAACATTAGGTATTTACTTCTAAGTTAAGTGTAAAATTATATTTTTTAAAAATCACAGTTCGTTTTTTTAATGCTTTTTTATTTTTATTTTTTTGATGTATTTGATGCAAATTACTTAGACAAATTACTCAGGCACCTTTTTTATAGAGACAGTTTTGTTAATTAAAGTGACAAAATGTATAACATTCATACTTTTTCTTAGTTGTTCTGGAACTATTGATAATAGTTGTTATTGATAAATTGACAAATATATTACTAATAAATAAAACTTTTTTTTTCAAACATTTTATTTTATTTGCATTGTATGTAAAATCCGTTGAAGCAATTTAATTGTATCTGATTAATTTAAGTGAAATATAATATCCTCTTCGCAAATTATTGCTTTTTTATTGTGTTATTTTATTGCAATTAAAGTTGATTTTTTAGTTAATTGGATTTAACCAAAATGAAAAACAAAAATCAACGTTGAATTTACGTTGTTTCAATGTTGTTCTAAAGTCTTATCAACTACGTATCAATCGAATATATCACGTATTCAAAGTTGAAATATGGTTGATATGTAGTCGATAAGACGTTAGATCAACGTTGAAACGACGTAATCATCGACGTTGTTTCAACGTCGTAGTTTTCGACGTCGGATTTTATTTCCAATTCAACCAAATTTCAACGTTGTTTCAACGTGGCATATAGTCGGTTTGCGACGTTGTTTCAACGTTATTTCGAAAGCTTATGGAGGAGACCAGCATGCCAAACTTTATCAAACGTTTTAGAAATGTCAAGAGCAATGGCCTTAACCTCTCCACCTTTATCTAATGCGCGATAAAACCTATCGGTTATTACTGATAGCAAATCAGCCGTAGAACGAGAAGATCGAAATCCATACTGATGATCAGAAAGTAGGTTATGAGATTCGAAATGAGAGATTAAGTGTTTGTTAAATAAAGATTCAAAAACCTTGCTTATGATAGGAAGAAGACTAATGGGACGGTAGTTAGATGAGTCAGATCGCTTTCCAGAATTTTTAAAAATAGGGATAACAGATGCTGCTTTCCAGCAGGCTGGAAAAAAAGACTCTGATAAGCACTTGTTGAATAGTTTTGAAAAGATAGACGACAGCTCAGGAGAACACTTCTGCAAGACTATAACAGGTATGTTGTCCGGGCCGCAAGCTGTAGAAGAGTCTAAGCGGGAAATCACTTTAGATACAGAAGCTGGAGTGATACTAATGTCGAGCAATGGATCAACCTGTTTGACGGGTATATCAGGTAAAACGCAACTAGTGGCATCAAGAGATGATATTGATGAAAAGTTCTTGGCAAACAATTCAGCTTTGTCTTTAGGTGAGGTGACAAAGTCTGAACCGTATAAAAGAGGTGGAATTACAGACTTGCCATTATTATTGATACTATTAAAGATTCTCCAGAAGAGAGAACTATTAAAGATTCTCACGAGAGCCTAATTTTTGTGATGAAATACGAGATTTCATGATCTGAGAATAGCGGGTTTTGGCGTTAGACAAAACCTTTTTACAATGATTCCTAGCAGTAATAAAGAGATGTCTGTTTTCTGGAGAATTGTTTTGCTGATAGATATGGAAGTAATGGTTTCGATTGGCAATTGCAGCAGCACAATGTGAGGAAAACCATGGAGAAGAGTGAGGCTTGACCTGGAATCGTCGAAAGGGAATAAAGGATTCCATGCCAGCCTGAATTCACGAAGTTATGTAAGAAGCACATTTGTCAACAAGGAGACGAAAGATTTCTACCCAGGGGCCATCACGAAGAAAGTCACGAAAAGAGTCCCAGTCAGCTTTAAGGTAGTTGTAAGAGGTACAATGATAGGGGGATTCTAATGGTAAAGAAGAATGAGATAATAGTTTTGGAGAGACCAAACCATGATCAGACGCACCTAAGAGTGAGTGTGAAAGTGTGAAGAAACTGAACACTGACTAGGATTAGAAACAAGACATAAGTCGAGTAGAGAAGGTAAATGATTCGGGTTGTCTGGAAAGCGAGTTGGAAAGTTGACTATTTGAGTTAGGGATTGAGAAAGACAAAAGTTGTGGGCCTTACTGCCTGCAGAGTCACTGACACTAGAGCCAAGCCATTCAGTGTGATGAACATTAAAGTCACCGACAACAACAATATTGGCTGATGGATAAAGAATGAGGGCTTGATCAATATAATTAGAAATAACATCAAGAAGAGTGCAGTCTTGGGATGAGGGAGAGCGATATAGAACAAAGAGAAAGGTGATAGAGTGAAGTGGTGCTAAACGAAAGCACATAAAAGAGTAGTCTGTGGATTCAAACCTAGTTTCCCGACATATGGGTGAATTCTTACGAATGTAAATGCCCAGGCCAAGCATGTGACTATTGGAGTCTTTACGAATTAGAGGAAGATAACCATCAACACTAAGATCACAAGATGAGACAGCTGAACTCAAATTAGTCTCACAAAGAGCAAGTCTGGTGAACTTTGCAAGAGATAAGACTCACAAAGAGCAGGTCTGGTGAACTTTGCAAGAGATAAGACTCAACAGAAGAAAAGTTACTTCGAAGACCACGAGTATTGGTGAATGATAGGTTTAGCGAACTTGGTGATGACTGTGGTTTTTTGTGTTTTATAGTTTTTGTTACTTTATTTATTTTTAAATTTGTTAGAGAACTTGACTCGAAACATTGATAGTACTCAGTACACTGTTCTATAACTCAAGCAATTGCCTCATTTCCACTAATAAACCCTAAGCCGTAACAAAGGGCTCCAATGTGGCCTTGGCAATGCACACCAAAAGTACAAACAGGGACACCATCCATGCGCAACATGGCACTGTTAGTACTCTGATATTTTTCAGCTGTTGATGGAATCAGCCTCTCTGAGAGCTACCACAGAGTTCGAGAAACCTGACTACCAGCCGGCCTCAGAACCATTAAACTGAGTTTTAAAGCTGTACCCTCATTTGGAGATAATAGAATGAGTTGCCTAGTCATAATATATATATATATATACATATATATATATATATATATATATATATATATATATATATATATATATATATATATATATATGCTGTATACATATAATTATACATAATAAATATACATATATATATATATGTTGATGATGATCATCAGCCTGATGTATATATGAATATATGTTGATGTATAT